CTCACATGGCATTTTCAAAGTATTAATGTAACTCCATGTTGAAGTTTTTGCTGCCAGTATAAGGCTGCGTGTACCGATTGATGGATGAAGATCATGATTGCCATTTGCAAAGTGTGATTTCATTGTCGAGTGGCATTTTGACATCTCATACGAGGTATATGCGTCCTACCACGTGCTTGTGCTTTCAAGCAAAGCTTTTACACACATCAAAAGTTTTGTTGCCCCTTAAAATAGATCTCTCTTTGGGTGGTTCCTTGCAACCACCATGAATGTTCTCAATATATATTTGCTGAAACTAAAGGTGACTTCCATGTTACTATGTATTGTTCATATATTAATCGTGACAACTACCCTAGCCCACAAGAAGAGAAGATGAGGAAAAATGCTAAAAACAAATTATGGGCAGCGTATATAGTTACGTAAGGGGGAGCTCGGAGTTTGATTAATTAGGAAGTAATAATTTTCTAGGCAAAGTTATAGCCTACCTAGCATTTTTCGAAAGACTAGTAAGTAATATGCAAGTGCATTATAACGGGATGTCGAGATCATGCCAATGGAAATGGAGCTAGGTGTAGATCATCTAACCTAAATCACACTATTTTTTATGCAACCCCCATTTTTTTACGTTAGGGGAGAGAACTACTTTTACGTAGTAAAGACAATAAAATTGTTATTTCTAGCTACTGCACCAACTAGACGTATATCTGGCAAGTTTAATTTGTGGGTCACATTTCGAATATTATTTCTCAAAAAAAAAGTAGGCCTAGTTTCTAGTTACATATCCATCTTACAAGAATCAATTCCAACCCTCTAAAAAGATTTGATTTACATGGTTATATCATTCAGAAAATAGAAAGAGTCGTTATCACTAAATTTACATGTGTTGATTCTATACGAAGCTGTTGCTTTCGGATCAGACCTGCCATATTTGTCCCGAGTAGAAAATTACTAATGGTAGCAGCGTCCACAACAGTATGCTGCCAGCCAATCAGATTACGCCACGTAGACATCTCCTCCCTCGAGTGGCCATAGTATTTTTCTTGCTTAATTAGCTACACACTAAAAACGAAGACTTACTGTGTAAATATTGAAGGAGGCGAGGGCATATGATGAAACTAATATAGTACTACATCTGTCCCAAAATATAACAACTTTTGGCTATGAATCTGGACACTAATCAACTTTCAGCAGTAGTGCAAAGCTAATCCTGCAACCTGCAGGGCGTGTGCTAGGTCCACCACTTGCCTCGTTTTCTTGCATTTCTACCTTTTACAAGTTGCACCTTGGAGGGCTATTCAGAATTCGATGACTAAAATGTTCAATTCCAATGACTAAAAGTTGTATGGTTATATTTGTTGCAAATATACCATATGATAGTATTACATGATTTAGAATACCTACAAAATTTACTGGTAAAAAACAGAGAGATAATTGTGGATGTATGTGCGTTGTGTGCGCAGGTGTGTCTTCTATGAAATTGCAAATATATATTGTGAGATGGGCGAGAGAGGAGGGGTTATAAATCACTAGTGAGATAGATTGTTTAAATTGTTTGACCAACACCTTCCCATAAAATAAAGGTGAATGAAAATTGTATATACTCCCTACGTTTTATAATATAAGTCATTTGATTTTTTTAGTCAAAGTTCTTTATGTTTGACTAAATTTATAGAAAAAATTAGCAATATTTATAACACTAACATAGTTTTATTAAATATAACATTGAATATATCTTGATAATATGTTTGTTTTGTATTAAAAATGTTACTATATTTTTCTATAAACATGGTCAAAATTAACGAAGTTTGACTAAAAAAAAGTCAAATGACTTATAATATGAAAAAGAGGAAGCGGATGTTATTGCACATGGTAACATGTGGTTAGAAGACAAATTTATTGAGGGTTGAAGTTTGGATATTTCTATCCTATAGTGGTCTACACGTAAAAGTATAATTTTGTGAAACATGTTTTCAAAAAAAAATGTGAAAAAAACAATTTTAAATTACAAGAGAGTTTTATGAAAAAAAAACTTAGAGGAGTACTTTTTTGATCTTTGTGAGATTTACTCAAAATCTTATGTCCAACACCAAGCATTAATAGGGTTGATGCTAATTGTTTCCAAATATCCATATACTGAAAACACAATCCTGCTCAAGTCAAGCCTTAATCCAAAAGCAATAGTGCAGTTTATGCATTCACAATGTTGTTAATTAATGCATATGCATACTTACTACTCCAAAAGTTTCATGATGTCAACTCATTTATAATGTTAGTGTTCCACTAGGGGAGCTTTAACTGAAGTATTTCATCAGCTTATGTGTTATCTTTAAGATAATTTGACTTGATCATATCTACTTTCTGTAATTTGTCTTATGACTATTTATGCCCATAAGAGGGGCTCACTAATACTACTTTCATTCCATCAACTACTAAATAACATTTTATTTCTACTATAAAAATACATTATACCTATCTTTAGTGGAAAAAGGAAAACACTGAACCTACAGTTTTGAGCATAAGGGTTTATATATATTTAATTGAAACTCAACAAGAAATAAAAAATTGTGTACATATTATTGGGTTGCATGTGATATATTTCGCGTGGCTCAAGGTCAAATTTGATAGATCGACAAAGAAGATTGGGTACAATGTACAATATATTGTATGACACGTGATATATTTTGTGTGGCTCAAGGTCAAATTTGATCGATCGACAAGACTTATTTTGGTATGATGTACAATATTTTGTAGGATATGTATTTTTTTCATAAAACAACACACGTGTAACTATGAAGTTGTCATCCTTATTTAGGAGAGAGTTCACAGGTATGACAAAATTCGGGCAACTTTGCTAGTCTAGTCTACTTCAAAAAACTGAACTAACCTATCAATTTTCTATTTTTCCACTTTTATTTTGGCTTGACTGTCTATAAGATATTTTGGCTTGACTATATCTATTTCTTAATTTGTGTTAACTATTTATGCCCATGAGATGGTTCACTAGCTAATACTTCTTTCATACAACCAACCACTACTAGTAACATTTTATTTCTACTTTTGTTACTTATATAAAATATATTATACCTGTTTTTAGAGGAGAAAGGAAAACATTGAACCTATAATTTTGAAAAGGGGTAAATGGATATGTGATACCTTATATCTAGAGGGTTATCTGTGCATATTAATCTCAGCAAAAGAATTCAAAGGCTAAATTGCACTTGCAAGCCTCACAATTTTTGTCAATAGATATTCAATCATGAGTATTTATATCTTTAAGTGCAACTCACCAAGAAATAAATCAATAAAATTGTGTACATATTATCGGGTTGCATGTGATATATTCCACGTGGCTCAAGGTCAAATTTGATCGATTGACAACATTTTTGGTATGATGTACAATATCTTGTATGACGTGTGATATATTTCGCATGGCTCGAGGTCAAATTTGATCTATCCACAAGATTTTTTTTTGTATGATGTACAATATCTCGTATGACATGTGATGTATTTTGCGTGACTCAAGGTCAAATTTGATCAATCCTCGAGGTTGTTGTTATGACGTACAATATCTCGTATGACATGTTTTTCCCCCAAGAAAAATATAATCGTGCAAGTATAGTGCTGGCATCCTTATTAAGGAAAAGGTTCCCTAGTATGACAAAAATTCGAGCAACTTTGCTAGTCTAATCTACTTGTGAAGTCTGAACTAACTTATGATTGTTCTCTTTTGCCACTTTTATTTTGGCTTGAATGTCTATAAAATATTTTGGCTTGAGTGTATCTATTTTGTAATTTATCTTAACTATTTATGCCCATGAGAGGGGTTCACTAGCTAATACTACTTTGGTATATGACCAACAACTAAATAGAATTTTATATCAACTTTTATTACTACTATGCAATACATTATACCTATCTTTGGAGGAGAAAAGAAAACATTGATCCTATAATTTTGAAAAAGGTTAAATGTATATGTTATACCTTATATCTAGAGGGTTATTTGTGTATATATAGTAATCTTAATAAAAGAACTCAAAGGCTAAATTGCACTTGTTGATATTGTCAACAAGATATTCGAGCATGAGGGTTTATATCTTTAAGTTCTATTCATCGAGAAATAAATCAATAAAATCGTGTACATATTATTGGCTTGCATGCGATATATTCCATGTGGCTTAAGGTCAAAATTGATCAATTTTTTTGGTACGATGTACAATATCTTGTATGATGTGTGATATATTTTGCGTGGCTCAAGGTCAAATTTGATCGATCCTCAAGATTTTTTGTTATGATGCACAATATCTCGTATGACACGTTTTTTCCCCAATAAAAATATAAACTTGTAAGTATTATGTTGGCATCCTTGGAATAGTTTCATAGTATGACAAAAATTCGGGCAACTTTGCTAGTCTAGTCTACTTATGAAGTGTGAACTAACCTATCATTATTCTCTTTTGCCACTTATGTTCCTTTTTCTCATAAAAGAATTGCCCCCATATTTTCTAAATTACTAGTAGTTTTTTTTGGGACATTGCACCCATCTTTAGTATTACTACCTCCGTCTAAAAATATAAGAAATTAAGATAAGATGAGACACATTGTATTACTACGAATCTAATCAGGGAAACCGTCTAGATTCATAGTAGTAAAATATGTCCCATCATTTTTGAAAAAGAGGGAGCAGAAGAAAAGGGGCATAGTGTCCATCGTGTACCCTCCATTGGACGCATGTCCAGATTCATACTTAGAATTATTATTATTATTTTTTAAAAAAGAGAGTATATACCAAACAAAACAAGAAAAAAAAAAGCTATTTCTAAGAGATAACAATGTCATCACCTCTCATGTCTTGGGGCCCATCCATCCATCAATTCAGAAGTCACAAGCCAAATAATAATATCCAAGGAAAAAAGAGAGGAGGGACCAATCTACAATTTCAAGAACCTCACAGGGCTGTATCCGAAAAACTCCCCCGATCGAATAACAACCACCACCACACCCTGAGCCCGCGGCCTCACTGCCATCGAGAGGTCGTCGTCGTCGTCGTCGATCACCTCGTCGTCGACGCACCACCAAAGCAAAGGCAAACCAAAACTCCTCTCCTCCTCCTCGTCTTCGCCGCCTGCGCGCGTCGCCGTCGCGTCCAGCCGGGGCGGAGGGAGGGGGGGTTCTTGAGGATGGTGGAGGTGGGAGGAGGAGCGGCGGAGGCGGCGGCGGGGAGGAGGTGGCGGCTGGCGGACGAGAGGTGCGACCTGCGCGCGGCGGAGACGGAGTACGTGAGGCGGTTCCACCGCCACGAGCCCCGCGACCACCAGTGCTCCTCCGCCGTCGCCAAGCACATCAAGGCCCCCGTCCACCTGGTGACCTTCTGCAGCTTCCCCTGAATCCATCGCTGCTTCGGTTTCTTGGTTTGTTTATTCTTGGGGCTCTCTTCTTTAATTTCTCGATCAGGAAGGATGCCAACAAATCGAAAAGCTTAATTTGGAGGCTTTCTTGTTCTGCTTTTCTTTTTTTTCTTCTTGTTCCCCTTTCTGATTAGTGTGCGGCAATTGATCGAAACAGTTTTATATACGCGATGCTTGCGATTGATTTCTGTTTCTTGCAACAATCGTGGAGCTGTTCTTGGATTGGGCATGCTACTTTGCTGGATTTGCTCTGCAGGAAGAAGAATGCGCAGATGATTGATCGCAATGATATGATGGCTAGTACGAAAATCGCACGGATTTTTAATTCTGCCTTTCGTACCGCCATCTCACGTGGGAAGATGCTTCCCCCCACCTCGAGATCCCGGCTTTATCTGATTTGTTTTTTGTTTGATTATTTTTGGATTTCTGGATGTTCTTGCATTGGTTTCTACTTACTACTTTATTAACCTTTTTCTTAGTTGTACCTTTATTCTCTTAATAAGTAATACTCCTGCAAAGAAATGGTAGAGATACCCTTGAGTTGGATTCCACTCCTTTCGATATCTATTGAGTGGTTCTAAGAAGATTGGGTTGAAATTTAGCTTTCTTTTTTGCGTTTTGTTTTGTTTTTTTGTTTTTTTTTTTTTTTTGCAGAATCATGTGATGCCTGTGACACTGAGAGTTAATCAAATGATATAAAGTTATCATTTTTGTCAATTACCAGCAACAGTAATAATCAGCATATTCTTAAAGGATGCCTAATTCCAACTCCAAATAGGAGTATATTTCTATAGAGATCATTGGCATTCTCTAGAGTCTAGCCTCTGTTTCTCCATTTAGAAATTCTCCATTTAGAAATTGTGTGTCTCTGATTAAAAGAGCTGTCCTATTCAATCTGTCTTGAATGAAACTTTTGCACCATCCTTGCCAGCCTCTTCAGTTAATTTCTGTTTTTTCTTTCAACTGTTCATTGATAGGACAGCCTGAATGATCTAGCACAGTTGGGATCTTTATGCAAGAACATTTAATATCAACTGCCCTGTTTGTTGAAAGATTATTAATTTCTACATATTTTTTTTGCCTAATATACTTTTGTGTAGTCAACCAAACTGCAGCTAATTGAATTTGTGGCAACCAAACCTGCAGGTTTGGTCTCTGGTGAGGCGTTTTGATCAGCCACAGCTTTTCAAGCCATTTGTGAGCCGGTGTGAGATGAAAGGGAACATTGAGATTGGCAGTGTAAGGGAGGTTAATGTTAAGTCTGGCCTGCCTGCCACAAGAAGCACTGAGAGGCTGGAGCTGTTAGATGACAATGAGCACATACTCAGTGTCAGGTTCGTGGGAGGTGATCATAGGCTCAAGGTATGTTTCCATGTTGATCAACCGTTAATAATCTTGTAATTAATTTGCTGTTCAGATGTTACATGTTACTATGGATCAGACATGTTAATAACTGATATCTTACATGTGACTATTGTGCATTTTTCGATTTTCCTTTTTCTGTTTAGGATTGAAACTTCCTTGATTACTAAGGAAGCAGTAATCATCTGTTCTCCAGATTTCTAATCAAGATTCACATAGTACCTTCTAACTGAACTTCAGATGGGCACTAGAGATTTTATCAGCTACAGCAGCTTCCTGAATTTTCAGATTTTGTTGACAATTAGAGCATTTCATACCCTTGCAGCAGCTGCTGCATTTTTTTATGCCAAATTAGTACTCCCTCCGTTTCGAAATGTTTGACACCGTTGACTTTTTAGCACATGTTTGACCATTCGTCTTATTCAAAAACTTTTATGAGATATGTAAAATTATATGCCTATATAAAAATATATTTAACAATGAATCAAATGATAGGAAAAGAATTAATAATTACTTAAATTTTTTGAATAAGACGAACGGTCAAACATGTGATAAAAAGTCAACGGCGTCAAACATTTCGAAACGGAGGGAGTATACTTTAACCATTGGTTACTAGAACCTTATCTGCAGCTTGGTGCTGCAACATATTCTGCATGATCTGTCATCTTAAACCATTTTACTATCTCAGTGCTTTGCATAGTCAAACCGTATGCACATGACGGGTTGATTCCACTGATTAGAGTAATAGACTCTCTTGCTTTGAAAAAGAAAAGGTTTTTGCTGGATACACTGTCCCTGGACTAGCAAACAGAGCACACTTGAAACAATAGACAGGTGTACTTTTTTGTCATCTGTTCTGCTCATGTCCTGTTCAGTTATTGACAACAAGGAACATGCACGCTAATGCGCTTACAATGATGAGGTTAATCCGTAATTTGTTATTTTATTAGTGCTCTAATTCATGCCTCCCCACTGGCCATGATAATGGACTGTGGGGGAGATATTTCCTGCTGGTCTGCGCAACCTGAATTTTTCAATTGTCACATCTTCAACGAACTTTTGTCGTCTAACCACAAAACAAGCTATTGGTTGTATTGTATTCCCTTGGCCATATGAACTAACAGCATGGCCCTGACTGGCCATTTCTTTGACCTTACCTGCCGAATTCGTTGCATGAGGATCTGTCACTTGTTTCAAAACAAAAATTAAATAGAAAATCCAAGAAATACCATTGATAAACACCCAAATCCAAGAAATGCCATCAATGAGTGCGAGTTCTATAAAATGCCATCGTACAAGCGATTTTGTCCTAGAAATACCATTGTCGTTAGGGTTCCATCCATCCCACGCCGTTAACGGAACCTTAACGGCGATGGTATTTCTGGGACAAAATCGTTTGTACGATGATATTTCATGGAACTAGTAGACATTTCTTGAAATTGGATGCTTGTCAATGGTATTTTTTTGGACTTTCTCAAAATTAAAACAAAATAAAAAAATGAGAGGATCTGTCACTTGTTCCAAAACATTTTTTTTTAAAAAAAAGGATCTGTCACTTGTTTTGGCATGGACTCATGGTCCATTATCCGTTTGCTTTGCTCAGCGGCGATGCTGGCACAAATGGCCTCACATGCACTGCATCTGGATAATGGAAACCACTTGTCCGAATCCGAGGGAGAACCTTATCTCTGCCTCTTGGTGTTAGCTCAAGGACACTGAACTTGTGAGCTGAATAAACTGATCTTATTGTCATTTCTTTTTTCCTTCTTTCCACAGAATTACTCCTCCATCCTGACCGTCCACCCGGAGGTGATCGACGGCCGGCCCGGGACGCTGGTGATCGAGTCGTTCGTCGTCGACGTCCCGGAGGGGAACACCAAGGATGAGACATGCTACTTCGTGGAGGCCCTGCTGAAATGCAACCTGAAATCTCTTGCAGAGGTTTCTGAACGCCTGGTTGTCAAGGACCAAACCGAGCCCCTCGACCGGTGATTGTTGCCAAGATTCCAAGAGCTATTTTGTGTTGCAAATGCTTAATTAGATTGTGCAGAGTTGCTATTCTCCAATGGAGCCCTTAGGTTCTTTTTCTTCTTGTTGTTGTTGAATGGTTCATGAGAGACTTGTGAGAGAGTGCTGCTGCTACTGCTGTGCTATGTTCAAACCAAAAGAGAAGAAAAAAAAATATTGTGCCTCCTCTTTGAGCCTCTGTTGCTGTTCTTTACCACCCTAGTATGTCACAAGGGCCTAAAAAAAATATTGTGTGTTTCGTTAGTGTTGAAGTACAGGGATTATTAGAACCATATAAGGGCCTAAATGCCAGCCGGTTTCGAGGCTTGGAGGGCTCTCTGTAATTAGTTTTGCCTTTAGTTCAATTGCCACCTTAATGTAAATTTACTTCTCTAGATCTCTATCATGGTTAAGAGAGAGCTTGAAATACTGTAGCTGCTGAGCTTGATCAATTGTTTCTGGCTCATTTAACTTGTAGCTCAACAAATTAAGAGCTCTGATGCATAGTCAAATCCAAAGTGGTTGGCACAAAAGTCGCCTAGAAGTAATTAAGGGGGTACAGTAATCACTTGTAATGTGAAAGGGAGAGGCATAATATGATCAACGGTTAGCAACGCAAAAGCTCTCCGCTGTTGACATTAATTAATATAATGAAATCCTCGAAGAAGTTGGGAAATGGTCGATATCAAGGTGAGCGTTACACATGGCTCACTGCATCCGCATGTCTTTGTTTAATGTCTAATCATGGTTATTTCCCGTTTGTTGTTTAGTGGTGTAAGTGGTCACCTCAGTGTGAAGGAAGCGTGAAATTAGTCCTATTGGTTATCTGTGTATGCAAGGTCAACTACTCAACTGCTAGCTACCTCTAATACGTTGTTTTTTTTTTGTTTTTTTGAAAAGAAGGCAAGAAGTTTGTCTTATATATTGATAGAGAAGAAGAGTTCATAGGTACAAAGGAATTGGGAGTTAGGGTCATTCCGGACCAAGGAAAGGAAGATGACTACTCACACAACCAGTAAATCTCAGTTAGGCAACTCACCCCGCCATTACCCATATATGCGCTTCCTCCTTTACTTTATTTTTGCCATGATGGAGGTTGGAGTGTTTCCCAGATTTTTGAAGATTCTTGAGTTTCTCTCCTTCCACAGTTCCCATGCAACTAGAATAGTTATCGACTTGAGGGCTTTCTTTGGCATATTTTGCATGGAGGTGACTTCCATCCACACCTCTAATACGTTGTGAAGTGCTTCTAGATCCTTAGTAGGTTTTGATGATAAATGACAATGTAATTAGAGGATATATCATGTTGAATGAGATTAGTGTAGGTATTCATCCTATGTGCTTAATAATCTAAAAAGATGGAGACCCCGACCCCACAAATTGATGCGAATCGGTGATTGGCTCAAGGCGATTTAAATTTATTTTCGGTTTGAATTTGAGTCATAGGAAAACTACACTACACTATTAAGAGGGGCTGGCATCAATGGTATGCGTTGTGTCTAAGTGCCCTAGTATCACCCTTAATTTTGTAGAGAGAGACACAATGCACCACACATACAAAAGGAAAATTGGCGGTCCTTGAACTTTGACCAAAAATTTTGATAAATTGCACCGAAACGTTAGGTCAGAATTCATTGTTCGGCGCTGGAAGGCTGACCGGAAGTTCAGGTCATTTCTCTGGACCAGTATAACAACCTCGGACTTAAGGTTCAAGTCTTTTGGAAAGGAGATTCCAGTCCCTATCTTAGTTGCTAGTTGAAGTGTTGACCTGAAGTTCCGATCTTCCACACTTGAACTTCCAGAGTTTGAATTGGTAACTGTTAGTTGTGGGGATGGGCTAGTATTTAACCCTACCCATCCCCATTTTGATTGTCTGGATAGCACATCTTTTGGACATATCCCTTAGCTTCTCTAGGGCTCCTAGCCTTCTCCACTTAGTTCTTGAGCCAAAAATCTTGTGAGCGAGGGAGTTTTGGATCTTGTGAGCTTGGGAGTTATAGTTCTTGGACGAGCACCTAGCTTGGGCCGATGTCAGGTCATCATCATCGCGCTTATTACTCTAGGTGGTTCTCCACCTAGTCGGCTAGGTGTCACACGTGGAGGATGTGAGCTAATGTCTGCACTAAATGAACAAAATTTAGTCGCACGAGTCACGGAGAGATTTTTTTAAACAGAAGCACCCAATCCGCTTCAATATGTCCAATACTCATGCTTTGGTGTTTTTTGAATTATTTTGTTCTGGTGAAAACCATCGCACACACATGAGCAAATATCGACACTAAATGCAAAAAGTTCGTCGCGCGAGTCACAGAGGTAAGTTTGAGTGAAGCTAAGCTAATTTCTAAGGGTTTGCTCAGTAGAGCGAGCTTCACTGAAGGAAGGTGTAAATGTGTAATATTCCCTTTGTGGCCATCCCATCCTTTCTTCCCATGAACCAAATACATAACTAACTGATCAAGTGGTCCGAAAGGATAAAATATGGATTGTAACCATGAATTCATATCCTCTAAAGTAGTTAAGTATGCACACGGTCATACTCCCACTATTCTAAAGTCCAAGGATTTTTATAGTATTCGAAGATTATAGCACAATATAAGTATTTTGAGACACTAATTCTAATGCATGAAAATCCATAATTTCTCAACAATCAGGTACTTAGAAGGGGATATAAGCAATTGAAAATTCAAACTTTAACAACTGAAATTACTAAAATTTTAATGTTACTATTTACTAAACAACCTAAAATGCTTATATTTTGAAATTAATCGAAAACATCACCAAGTGCTAACTGCTAAGCACTTATCACAGAGAACAAAAAAAGCCAAAAAGGGAGCATGACAAACAAATGGTCAATCCATACTATGTTCGATTTTTTTCAATGCTCCGGAAAGAAGAAAAGAACAAATCGTAGCGCTACCACTGGTAACATGAAGAGATCAGCCATAAGGCAATTCCCAACCCAATAACTAGGATGGTGTCTATAAGAGCAAGTTCAATAGTATAGCTCACTACTAGCTCCAAATCATCTATAGTCAATATAATAGTCAGTTCATACAATAATTGCTTACTATACTATAAATACTTGGTCCTACCTATCATACACACATTACGTCTTAGAGTTCGTGCTGCAGCTGGCTATAGATCTGTAGCCAGCTGCTCTTCTCTATCTTTCTTTATTTCTTTAAAATATGTTTATAGTTGACTTATAGCTTCCTATTGTACCTGCTCTAACATTAAATAAGCTGTCATCTAGTATAGAGAAAATTGACATTGTGCCATTGTCACGATGGGATTTCGCTGAAATGCCATTACACAGATGGGATTCAATAAAATGTCACTTTCAACCCGTGTGTCTACGCTCAAATGCCATTTGCATCGTTTCTTTCCAATTAAAATCATTTTGCCCTATTTTATCTTGTGTGTTGACCAAAACACCCCTGTTTTCACATTGTTTTCCCCTTGTTTTCCCTGTTCAACATGGACAGCAATGGTGTCGGCGTACCGGCAGCGAGCTGCTGCCGTGAGCCATCGTGTTCATCCTCGATCAGCCATCTCCAAGCAGCAAGCCGCCGCCCGGCCGACCTCACCGCAGTTCTTCTCGTCGTCCCCCACCGTCTGTCGATCGTCGCAGATCGGCTCACCGAGGCACCAAGCCTCTTCGCGGCTCGTCGTCATCACCGCATTCCTGTTTCGCCGGTCGCAGCGCCGCGCCTACTTCTCCACCATCACAACCGTTGCTGTGGCCTTCTTCATCAATGTCGTCGACGCCTGTCTTCACCACCGCCAGCGGCAATCCCATCACTTGTGACGATGGAGCAGCTGCCCAGATCCAAGAAGCAGCCATTGATCTGGACTTCCTGTCATCCTGGTAAGCAGCAACTTGCTTGTTTGTGCAGGCTTGAACTAGGAGAGAACACAAGCTTCTTTAAGCTTTACTCTGCCCCATGCCGGCCGCTTCCGCGGCGAAGCTTCTCCTCCAGTCCGCCTCGCCCGACACCCATCTCTTTCTCCCCACGAATGATACCAGCTAGGGTATTTTGGTCAGAAACAAATAGAAAACAGGGAAAGATGATTTTAATTGGGAAGAGATGGAGTAAATGGCATTTGAGCGTAGATGCACGGGTTGAAAGTGGCGTATTATCGAATCCCATCTGTACAGTGGCATTTGAGCGAAACCCCATCGTGACAATGGCACAATGTCAATTTTCTCCCTAGTATAAAAGATGATGTGGCAAGTGAATAAATAAGGAAAGAGATATTGTTTCTACACAATATCCAAGACATCATGTGAGATAAAACATTAAATTTAAGTATATAAAAGTGGTGTTAGCATTGAAAGAGTAGTGTCTAGTACTGATTTTTTTGATAATATAGAATTTATGAAAACTATATTTAGTGTCTTGGGTTGGGAATGGCCTGAGAACCCAAATGCAACAATAATATTGCATAATAGTTTTAACGGGTCATCTTTTTTTTTTCTAACAACATGATTTCACGTGCATGATGACTGATCTCTACGACTCTACCTCGGTGTGCTACACTATTGAATTTTGCGCTTGCTGTGTTTTTTAGCTCAAAATTTGTCCCACGAAGACTGTCTTCTTAATGATTTATTAGCCCTCTTTAATATTATTGAATCCTTTTCTCTTTTTTTTTTTTTTGCCATTGAACCAATAGTCTCCTCATTCATTCTCCCCTCATTTCTCTCTGTATTAATGAAGAGCATAATAGTCTTCTAATGTTTTGCTTGGAATGACTTTGACTCTCTAAAAGAACCGTCTTTTGGGGACGGAGGGATTATGTGAGTATGTGACGGTGTTCCTAATTAACTAAAGCAATTCGCTAAAGTATTTAATTAAGAAGATTGAGCTGAAAAAAAACCAAAAAAAAAAGTACTCTTCATTAAAGCCAAGACCGATTACATAATCTGATCAGCACGGACGGTTAACTCACTAGGTAGATTAGATGTATCCTCCAGGTTTCCATTTCTGCCATGCACTTTGAATCCCGGATTTCATCTTGGGTAAAATTCACATCAAGCAAGAGGCCAAATAGGCACCACTTTCTTTACAATTTACATGGTTCAACAATTCTAATATATCAAAATTCAGAGTAAAAATAAGTTCACATGTGTTATGTCGACAGATGGTCCAGTACATAATAACAAGTTGAACAAAATGATAGGCAAAAAGGGAAGACTATGAACTATGGTATATATGCGCTAACCAATCTCTCGTGTGCTTGCTCTTCCCAAGTTTCTTTGGAGCAAATGCAAAGCAAGCTGAAAAAAAGGGCTCATCGATCACTCTCAGGAAGAGATCTTCAAAGTTCTCTGCCATTGCATAACCTTTCAAGGCCATTGGAACTGCAGAAGCACGTGTAGATGCTACATACCATGAGATGGATCAGGAAAGGAACTAATTCTCTACACAAAATAGCAGTGTGCCGGTTTTGCATTTGTATGCTGTCCAGAAGAAAAAGTCTCATCTGTAAAAGAGGTAAAATTTTCTGTGTGTACTGAGAAGGTTTATCTTTTCTCAGCTTGCAACCTCAACAGCCTCAGCTTCTCCATCACTGTAGTCTGCCCAGGACTTTGGATTTTCAGTCACGGCTGAACCATCTTCCGGGGTAATTGCACCATCTCCATCACCTTTGGAAGCTTCGGTTTGCTCAGGCTCCCCTTCGCCGTCTTTACTTTCCACATGGTTCTTGCCATCAGTGTCCTGTTTTTCACTCCCATTTTCAGTATCGACCCCACTGGTTGTATCATTTCCTTCAGGACTGGTCTGGCTAATTTCAGAAACTTGTGGAGATGCAGTTGCAGGTGATTCTACTATACTGTCTGAGGGAGAAGGAAGGCCATGAGGTGAAGCTTCAGTGCCACCTGGTGATGCTAGAGGTCCGTTTGGAGATGCTGGGTTGCCATTAGGACTCCGAGATTGACCTGGCACAAACTCGGCTGCGTTAGGGTTCATCACCCTAGTGGCAAATGTGTTTGCTTCGGTAAGGCCTTCACTGCTTGGCAAGGCAGACTTGTTACGAGGGCCACGGTGACCTGATCTGTTGTAGCCTCCAGCCAACCGTGGACCATAAGGGACTCTTGCGGTTGCAGATTGGTGAGGGTGTTTACGAAGAGGGATCGACAACATCGGGGGTACATTGGCTGGTGATGGCAGCAATCCTCCATGTTCTCTGAAACCTGGAATGGCCATTGACCCAAAAGCTGGAACAGTGGAGGGATTGAATGGAGCAGCAGCAGCAGAAAGCTTACTGGCCGTCTCTTTGGCACCTGGTGAATCATTCTTTTCACTTTCAGATGGTGAAGATTTCTCATTTTCGCCTCCACTAGACATCTGTTCTTGAGCATCCTCTCCTGCATCTCTTTCATCATCATTGGAGGAAGAATCATTTGCCTCAGTCACCATAGATGCTACTTCGTTTGGGGCATTAGCTTCAGTTACTGTTGTTAATGATTGAGATGACGATGATACATCTGAGGCTACAAGATCTCTTTTCTTCTCAGGTTGTGTCTCTGATTGATTTGATCCAGCCAAAACAACGGTTTGTTCGTCATCAGGATTGGAAGATTTGCCTTCACCAGTTTCTTTGGATCCTTGGGAAGTACTATCTTTTGGTGACACTTGAACAGCTCCATCTTTCTCTTTAGAAAGGTGACCATTGCTTTCCTTTGGGGCCTTAGCAGTTTCAATATTTGCACCTGCATCGGTTGCATCCTTTTCCTCCGTTTGTGCATCATTCAATGCTTTGACAAGAGTCCCTGGTGCAGCTATTGCAACTTCCTTGTATGATAGTGCCTTCCTTACTGTTTGACTGGCAATTGGTGCTGAAGACAGGACTGCCTTGGCAGCTGCTGGGGTGGTGGCAGGGCTTGCTGACAGAGAGTTGGGATTGGAAGAATTCTCCGCACTGTTTGATGATATAGCAGGGCTGCCTGGTTTGGAATTGAAGCTTGAACTCTTCACCAGTTTCTTTGCAGTTACAGCCTCACTAGGTAAAACTCGAGGGGAAGAGAAGTTTGATGGAGCTCTTCCTTTGTATCTTCCATTCTCAGTATTGTTTAGTGCATTTGTGTTGATCTTTGCTAGATTCGGCCTCCTTGCACTTACACCAGTTTTGCGGTTCCCAGTGGATCGTCCCTTTGGAACAGCTTCTTGCCACCCTTCATCCGACGTGTACTCTTCAGTAAAATCATCTTGAGGTATACGGCTTAAGGTGTTACCTGGTATTTCTTCTTTCAGTTTCTCTTTCTGAATAAACGTTCCATTCTCTTTGACTTCAGAACTTTCCTTCTCAATTAATGAATGGTCACTTTTAGGTGGTGGGCTCCTTTGATCTTCATCATCGACTACTTCAGATGGATTTTGCCCGGCACGACCTTTGATCTATTATTCATAATGTGCACATATGAGTGACCATTGGCGAAATAAAAGAATGCCATATAGTACCAGTGGAAGGCCTTAACAATAAACATACCTTAGCGCGGGCTTGTTTCTTTTGCATTTCCTTAGCCTTGAGTTCATCATCTGGATTGATATAATCCAGAAGATCTGATACACTGAAAGAAAAATCAATACCTAAGCACAAGCAAAGACAATCATCCAAAATAGATCGATATGTAAATTTAAATAAGTATACTCTTTTCCTTTTGTAAGCCTCTACCCCCGAAATGTAATCATCATAAGGATAACAGTGACAAGCTTAGTCAGCACGCTATGGCATTTATTAGTCCATGTAGACACTTAGAGATGAGTTTTTTTTCCCTTTTATTTTTAGATAGAGGGAGAGCCCCTGCCATTTCCAGTACTAGAAATGGCAATAGTGCAATAGAGATCATTGATTCACAAATAAACAAAACTCAATCCTAACTTTTGCAACCACTTTTATGAAACAACATGGTAAAGACGAGCAATCATGTCATCTACCTCAGGTGGCCTCTGCTTGCTATTGAAGCATCAGGCTTTGGAGTACCATTACGTGCTGCTTCCTGCTGCTCTAGTGCCTTGGACTCAAAATATTCAAGCCAAGCAGCAGCATCCTGTGGAAAACATAGTTATTAGATTTCCTTGCTGCAGTAGAATGGAAAATAACTAAAGAATGAAATTGATTGGTAAGTGGAAGAACACATCACCAGGAAGCAATTTTTGTCGGCTTACCTGTGTACGAAGATCTTCCGACCCAAGCTTTGCTTGAAGTATTCGTAAAGTGGTTTTTTCATGTTGGACACTTAAAGAGTATGCTTCCATTAAAGACAGAGCAATAGCAATAGCATGGTAACTAGCAGCAGTCTGTCAATAAAAACATCAAGATATATAAGATGAGTTTTCAGTCTCAAGTTTTCTTTGGATCATGAAAGGGAATGGTTCTCATAGTTCCCAGCAAAACGAGTGTGAACATCAAAACTGATGTGGCCATGAATTAGACTACTGTATGTGTCGGAACTCAATTGAGAACTAAAACAGATAGGGTTGCAAACCTGTATGTGATCAGCACCAAGCAACCTCTTGTTGCATTTTAGAGCCTCATGAAGGTAACGAAGTGCAACATGAACATTACCCAGCCCTTCTTCCATCATTGCCACATTAATATAAGTTGCAGCAGTATTAGGATGAGAGGGTCCACATGTCAGGTGCAAAAGATATAGGGCACGATTCACATACCTGATACACAAAACAGAGCATAACATAGTTGAGATTTCCAAAGAGAGTAAATAGAACAGACTTCATAGCTTACTCATAAAAACAAACTAGATGGCACCCTAGGCATATAGCTTTTGTAAACGACAACAAGCACATACTTTAATGCCAATTCTGTATGCTGCAGGCGGTAATAGAAAACTGCAAGATCTCCATAGCTTTTCATTGTATCTGGATGATCTAGTCCAAGTTCTCTCTCATTTATATCTAAAGCCTTCTGTTGATAGATTGTTGCCTGGTAAAATAGAGAGTGAACATTTATAAAGCCAGTCTTCACAGCACTGGATAGTATGTATGTATGTATGTATGTATGTATATGTATATATATGCATATACAAGTTAAACCTTCACTCAAAAAACTACGAGTTAACCCCTTGACAAGTGTATATTTCAGTACTTCATGTAACATGAATGAGAAACATTTTGCATTATATTACACTTAAGCAGCTTACAGTCACAATTTCCACATGATCATCATATTAACTGTTGTTCAAAATAATTCTGCATGATTCCCATTCATCGTACCCAAGATTTGTCTAGAATCAGAATTCAACTTTAACAATATTTGCACAGAAGACAATATTTGCAATATTACATTCTACAGAGCAATGTATAAAATAACTACTGGCTTAAATCCCAAAAAGAAAATACCTGGTTGAAGTCACCAGTATGATAAAGCACTACTGCCAAAAGGCTGTATGCTCCTGCTGTCATTCTGTGATAAGGACCACAAACAGCAACAAGTTTTGCAAGAGCCTGCATCACCATGTATAATCAACAGGATGTAGTGGTCAAGAAATCATCATGATGTGTCAAGACACAAGATCAGGACTGTACCTTTGTGCCATAGTTAACAGCATCCTCAAGCTTTCCCTTGTCCAGGAAAGTCTTGGATGACTCCAACAGGGTTCGACCGTCTGCTGATGAGCATGCAACATGCTGGAGTAAAGACATCATGGTTAAACATGTTAATAAACAGGAAGTATTTGCATCTCATTCAATTACAGAATCCAAAGGGTTAAACTTTACCTTGTAGATAGGAACAATGCTGATTATATCTGACCTTCTGAATGGATGTGGCATATCCATGTCATAATCTTTGGTAACTAGCTCAAGTCCTACCTAAATTGCAGGAGTTGTCGTTCAAACCATGGTTCCAAAAATGAACAAGTGTAACCTATAATGTTGAACCTCGAGGGAAAAAGAAGCAATATTAACATCCAAATTATTATTACCTTATGGCAGATACCACGAAGGATGGCATATTTTCTTAGATCAGCACGATATTCGTCTTTCCACGTCCAGCCAAATCTCTTTACTAGAAAGACCTCCAGCCACCTTTGCCTGAGATTGTTATCCTCATAGCACTTGCCATCGTTATTTTCTTCTGGAAATGGTCCCAATAAGATATTCAAACATGATGCAACCACCTCAGCCATGTCATTTATATCATGAACAGCTGAAATAACAGCCCGAAGTACGTGCTTAAATGCTCGAACTACCATTTCATGTATACACAAGGATTGTATATGTGGGAGCTTATCAGCAAGCTCAACCTGAAACACAGTAAAATAAAGTACTTCAGTTGTCACGCTGATGTGAAATATATCTTATCCTTTTAAAACGAATGAAAATTCTTCTTAGTGGTTCAAAAAATAATAATCTAGAACTCGACCCAACTATGAAGTATGTACCACTTGTCCTAGTGAGCGCATCTGGAGTCCCCTGGTGTGCATAAAATCTGTCAATGTCCTTCCATCAACAGGGGAAAGCTCAAGTGAACCAAAATCTGCTACCTGATAACATATAAAGGTGGTGGAAAATTAATTTCTCAGTGTCTCACAAAGAATACATGTTTGAGATTGATGCCACATGAGTACAATACATTACCAATTTTGGCAGAGCTGTATCATCATAATATTTGTGCGCCATCTCAATTAATTCATCAGGTGACTGCATAGAAAAGCATTGAATCATAAAGAATAATGTCACAGAGAAGAATGATAGGAGCAGCGCCAGAGAAGCATAAACCCTGCCGACCTATAGTACATACCAAGCTAGTTCCTGCAGTAACACAGGATATCACCAGATATACTAATTATGCACCGTAAATGATATGGCCAATATGATAGATTATAGTATAAGCTAATGTGGAGCTAACTGTTCCTAGCAATATAATTCATAAATCAGTCAAGTAGTACAGAATTTGTTGTGATGTGCTGTTGTTTGGAGAAGAAGGGGCCGGTAAAAATGAGGTAATTTCTTGGGACGACATTTGAGAAATCTCCAAACAGAAATGATCAGGGAAAAACCTTAGCATGCAGTCCAGTTTCAGATTCCTTTAGTCTCTGGAAAGCAGCTTCTGGAAGCCATCTCTGTAGAATTGCCTCATTATCCTCCTTTGTGCTGGAAGAGTTGACTGTTTGCGCATCATTTGTATTTGTCGAAGTATTTTCTTTTGTGGATGCACCTTTTCCACTCTTTTCATCTGTCTTCTTCTTGATCTCCTTCAGCTGACCAAACTGTTTCCCCAGACCTTTCACTGTAGGAACATCCTTGGTCTCCTCATTTTTCTTAGTGTCGGCCTTCTCAGAAGTCTGATTCTGTAGGTGCTGCACCCAGCAAGCTCCAAGCTCCCATCTTATTGGTCTTGTTTCTCTTGGAGCTTCACATTCAAGCTTCTGCAGACTATCTGTCATTATCTTACGGACAAAATTTGTACTATATTCACTCTCTTGAGGAGAACTTTGCAACCGCTGAACTCCTCCAGATGGTTGAATACATGGTTTATGAAGCAGCATCCTTAAGCTGAAAAGAGATAAACATGATTGTCATAGATTTTATCCAACCAATACAATGGTAAAAATAGATTAAGAAAAGAGAGAAAGAATGAAATGGACCAAGACGAACAGAGGTAAAGTAAATCACTTAGGACTGATTTGGGTAAACCCATGGTTTAGAATTATCAGGTTAGCATAAGATTATATATATATATATATATATATATATATATATATATATATATATATATATATATATAAAATCAATTTTCCAAGTACTAACCTATTGACATTCAGTGCGTTGCTACCTCCTTCAGGCTGATCTTCAATGTCAATATCATGTTGTGCTAGAGAAACAGTTGTCAGTTGAGCATCTGCTGGAACTTGAACAACAGCTGTGTATCCACAATGCTTCACAACCACCACACCAAGAGTAGCAGTATCCTGTAAACTAATAAAATTACATCGACAATAAACAGGAAAATGGATAAAAGTAAACTGCAACAGCCCGTATCAAAGAAGAAAGTCTTACATGTACTGTTGCACTCTCGTCAGCAGTGATGCCCTTCAACAGATTTCTCTTAGCAAGTTCATCAGACAGCATTCCTGGAGCTTGACTTCCATCTAACTTGACATCTAACTTAGAACTTGCATCCGCTTTGTCCTTTGTGACTGTTATTTTCATATCTCCAATTTGTTGCGTGTGCAAATCTGGATTTGTGGTGTCATTCGGTGTTTCAAGTGAACTCTTGTCAGGGACCATTTGCTGAATAGCTGCAACAGCTTTAAGAACTGCAACATCTACAAATAAACTATGGAGTAGGAAAGCCTTCCTGTCTCGGATTTGCCTCTCCTCAGCTGTTTTGCAAGGCATTGCAGCCAGTATGGCAAATTCTTTTGCCCATGGCCTATGGTCATGTTTTCCATCTCTTCCCTGACCACCACCATTGCTACCCCATGTTTCATCTTCAGTTGGAAGGGGTGGAAACACCGATGGCAAATCAGCAACAGCAGGAGGGACCACCCAAGTGTTTGACCGGAATCCATAAGGAAGATTTCCAAACTGCAAGGAAATGTCAATAAAATGTGAACTATAAATCTCTCAAATGCAATTGCAAAGTTGTGTTAATACATGCAAACAAAATATATATATAGGTACATTAAAACAAGCACACTATTCAGTTTAGTGAAACAAAATGCATTAGCTTATTTCCAATTCCACGAATTCAATTGTTTCCGTGGAAAATAGGGTATGTCTCTTCAAATGCATTGACCAATAAACCTAGAAAATGATCTCTAACCTAAAGTTTAGCTTTGAAATTAATAATTTTTAAATAGTCACATATTCAGGCATGTCTGAAAATAATCAAGAAATCAAGCATTAGCAAGACCTCACCTTATTATGCTCAACAAAAGCCTTCATAAGAGCCTTGTAAGCCTACAAAATCGCACACATATTTCCACATCAATGAGATACCATTCATTAATAATCAAATCACAAAATCTCCAAGGTCACACGTACTCCATCAAACGCCCGGCTCGTCTGCTGCAACAGCCCAACAAGGGAGTGGCTGATGAGCGCTCGCTTCCCTGCTGGATAGAATCCAGCTTTGGAGGCCACGATGGTCACCGGCTTCCCACTACAAACCCTTACCTGCACACCAACACCCAATTGCAGAACGCTTGGAGAATTATACAGGTGCAAATGAGTGTCATATTGCATTTTTTTATGACATTGGCCATATTGATGGTTACGTGCGTGCTATGATAAATTAATTAATTGTAGTTTTCATATATATGAGTTGCAGTCTAATCTAATGAATATATAGTTAAATTAGCATGAGATTTTGAAACAACTATTGGCAAACCTTATCTAGCTACTCTAATGTAATGCAATCGAATCAATTAAACTAAAAAGAAACATCACATTTGTGCTATTTTTCTTCAAGCAAACTCACATCGATCTGGAAGAAGTCGTCCTCTGTCTTGTCATCAACGAATGGGCGCGTCGACCTCCTAATATCTGAAACCAATCGCATTTTCACTTAAACAAAAGTGGAAGAAAAAAAATAAATATCACCCGAACCGGCTCACCATCTTCTGCTGTTCCGAATGCGCTCAAATAAAAAAAAAAGAAAACAAAAATGAATGAGAAGAACGAAACTACTAGCACTCACAATGGAGGGGCGGGGAGAGGTGGGAGAAGGAGAAGAACTCGTAGAACTGTCCCAGCTTCGGCGGCGGGTACATCGGCTCCTCTCCTCCACCGCCTCCGGCGCCAACGCCGCCGCCGCCGCCGGCGGGCGACCCGGGGGTCTTGGCGGCGTCGGGCGACGCCGGCGGGGGCGGTGGCGGTGGCGCATCGGGAGACGACGGCGATGCGGGCTTCTGCTCGGGCGCACTCTTCCTCGGCCCGAACGCGGCGGTGCAGGCGACGATGTCGAGCAGCCGCCGCACGTGCGCCACGGCGAGCTCCTCCGTGTAGCCCTCTGCCGCGCGCCATGGGAGACGAGACGGTGAGTTTTTTATTTTTTTGCGTTTTGGTCCTCGAGAAATACGGGATTTGCTCGTTCAGACTTACCCTCGACGATGCTGACGTGGCACGGCTTCAGGGAGGCGACCTCCACCGTGTCCTTGAGCTGGGCCCCACGAACCTGCATTGGTGGCAGAGAGGGAGAAAGTACAGGCTGTCAGTGGGCACGAATCTCGAGGCGGATGTGAGCCGTTGGGATCCTCTGACCGACCTCGTGGGACAGGGAGTAGTTGGTGAGGTGGCATGTGTCCACGTGGACGGCCAGGAGCTTCCGGACGTCGAGGATCTTGTCCGTTGATATGCCCTGAACAAAGCACCACAAACACAAAATGAGCTAGGCAGCGAGTTGGCACCTACCACTGCGAATTATAAGTACCATATTTAAATTGATAATTTAGCCACACAAACAACCCAATATGAAATTTGAGATTTAAACTCGGAACTTTAACCCCAAAAATAACCCAGTCTTGTTTAGTTTTCAACTTTTTCTTCAAACTTTCAACTTTTCCATCACATCAAAACTTTCCTACACACATAAACTTCTAACTTTTTTCTTCAAATTTTCAATTTTAGCGTGGAACTAAACACAGCCCTAATCTAAAATTCACTAGGAGATTTGAACTCAAAACCTTGGGAATTGGGACGCTACTGAGGTTACTATAATCAGTAGGCTACATGCCATTGCACAAAATGGTACTATGTACTTAAGCTAACACAACCATTGCTAACTTGCTCAAAAATAATTAGGATGTGTAAATTGCCCATGAACTTTTTTGTGTAATGTTCGTATAGAAAATAAAAATTCTCATCATGTACATTTCAACGAGTGGGGTCATTCTTTGCCAGCTTTGTTAAGTTGCCGCTTATGCTCGGTCGCTCGCCATTGCTAATTAGCACAAGAAAAACACGTTTTCTGTGCAATTGAAAAAAATAAATATAGAAGTTTCTAAGAGAAAAGTGGTAGGCACTTTCGCTTTAAACAAAGTTTTTTTTTCTTTTTTTTTAAAAAAAACAAGATGAAAGTGTTGCAAGTGAAAGCTAGAGAAGAATTTACTTAATTTTGTCGTTTAACATGCAAGCACAATTAAGGCCATCGAATAGAAGGAACAGTACATATTCAGTTACAGTGGTCACTGGTCAGAATACTGGGTGGTCCATATTAATTAATTAATTACGCGAAAATATCCATGCGAGAAGACGGAGATAATACGCGCCCCGGCGCTCACCTTGAGCGTCAGCTGCGTGTAGTCCGGCGTCTCAACGGTGACGTCCAGCACGGTGGGCAGAACTGCAGCAGCATCATATCAATATTTCCACGCAAAAACCACTCACATGTTAATACTGAAACAATATGAACTTTCAAATATTGAAAGAGGCAAGCTAGCTTAATTAATTAATCCTTGCATCTGAAAATAACTTTTGTCTTGAAAACGAATTAAATTAAACCAATCATCCGAGCTGATGAATTCGATGAAAATTCAGATGGGAAGTGAAGAAGATTCAGTTAGCCATCAGTTAAGCTGCACCTTTCTCTTCCTTCTTCTTCTTGTCTCCCTTGGCCTTGTGCGGCTTGGCCTTCCCTGCCTTGGGCGCCATGGCTGGCGTCCCTCAAGCTAATTAGCTAAGCTAAGCTAATGAATTGAAACCTCTCGATAATCTCGTTCTTGTCAGAAACCAATCAAGCGAGACGGGATTAAGCGGCAGCTCTACGTTGGCCTTAGCATTGCAGAACTGCAGGTCGCTTAGCTTAGCGCTTAGGCAGGAGATAGCGAGCGAGGGAGGCAGTGGAGAGGGAAGCTAGAGGGTGAGAGGCGATAAGAGGATAAGGGATATATAGCTGCTTCTAGCTAGCTAGCAAAGCTGAGAGTTGCAGCTTCTACTAACTCTGAACCTCAAGCACTGTTTTCTCTGCAGAACGGAATAGGACAAAGGGTGAACCGGTGAAGTGTTTGGTGAATTATTTTAGTCTAAATTAATACTACCTCTGCTTTTTTAATAGATGACGTCGTTAATTTTCTGCCACACGTTTGACCATCCGTCTTATTCAAAAATACGTAATTATAATTTATTTTGTTGTGAGTTATTTTATCCCTCAAAATACTTTAAACATGATTTATATCTTATACTTCTGCATAATCTATTATATTATTAAAACAGCCTTAAATGAAGGCACCACTTTGCCGCCGTGGGGGCTAGAAATTCCCACATTAATCGGAGAAAAAGAAAAGGAGAGTCCAAATAGAAATACAATTTAAAAATAGCTGAATTCGGAATTAAAAATAAGTAATATTGAAAGAAAACTCCATATAGGAACCCAATATGAGATTAATCGAAATTCAGAATAAAAATAAAATAAAATCTGAAAATAGAAAAAAATTAAGAGTCTAAGTAGGAATACAATTTAAAAATAATTGAAATTCGAAATTTAAAATAAGGAATATTGAGAGAAGAGTCCATATAAAAACCCAAAGCGAGATTAATTAATATTCAGAATAAAAATAAAAATAAAATCCAAAATTAGCAAAACGAAAAGAAGAGTTCAAGTAGGAATACAATTTGAAAATAACTGAAATTCATAATTAAAAATAAGCAATATTGAAAGAAGAATTCATATAAGAACCTAATACGAGATTAATTAAAATTCAAAATAAAAATAAAATAATATCAAAAATTAGAAAAATTAAAAGAGAGTTAAAGTAGGAATACAATTTTGAAACAACTAAAATTCAAAAATAAAAAATAAAAATATTAAAAGAACACTATACAGTATTAATTAAAATTTGAAAAAAAAATAAATTCTGAAATTAGAAAAAGAAAAAATATTTTAGTTAGGAATACAATTTATAAATAACTAAAATTGGTGAGAAAAAATAAAGACTATTGAAAGAGAAGACCATCTAAAATAAATGACGAGGTAAATTAAGTAACAAGCCTATAAAGGAGTAGAGTGGTGACGGTTGATACGACGTATAAAAACTGTTAATAAAACACCAAATAGAATCCTAATGACGATTAAAAGGAGGGACGACAGGCAGGCCATGAAGCAAACAGGCAAGACGGTTGCCGGGACTTCTAGAAAGTAAAAAAAAACCCGTTGATAATCATATTCGGTTTTTAAAATCTCAATGACAGTAAAAAGGAGAAGCAGCGGGCGGGGTGTATAAGAGTATAGTTGCAGAGCTGTTAACTGTTGGCGGGACTTCTTAAAAATAAAAAATAAATTCCAACGATAGTTATGTTCGATTTTTAGAATCCCAATGAAAACAAAGAGTAGGCGGCGGATGGGTCGTAGGGGAGTATAGTGGTATCGTTTGACGGGACTTCTAAAAATTATAAAAAATAAAACCCAACAAGAAAATAAACTCTAAAAACTACAAAGTCCAATTTCTAAAGGTTCGGAACTTCTTAAAAGGTAAAAAAACAATGATAATTATGTTCGATTTTAATATCTCAATGACACTAAAGAAGGGAGCCAGCGGGCGAGCCATAAAGGAGTACAATGGCAAAGCCGCTGACAGTTTGGCGAGACTTCTAAAAAGTAAAAAAATGAACCTGAACAATAATTATGTTCGATTTTTAAAATCCCAAACAATAAAGAGAAAAAGACAGTGGACGGACCGTAGAGGAATATTATGGCAGCGTTTGACGGGACTTTTACAAATTATAAAAACGAAACCCAACGAGACAATAAACTCTAAAAACTATAAGATCCAATTGTTTAAGATTTAAAGGATAATTAATAGAAATAATGGTAGATTGAGCGAGCAAATAAAGAAGGATATGGCAGAAGTAAGGGGTAGCAGCTGGTGTGACTTTTAAAAACTATATAATTAGAAATACGGAGATGATAAGGTTTGGTCTTTCAAAGTCTTAAGACAACAAGATAGCTATTTAATAAATTTTAAGCAAAATCATACTGAAAATATATGATTTTGCTTGGGTGTTAGCCGCTCAATTACGCGGGGCACCTAGCTAGTTTTCTTTTAATAAGACAAATGGTTAAATATGTGTTCAAAAATCAACGGCTTTATCTATTAAAAAACAGAGATAGTATGATATATAGTGGAATTTACAAAGAATTTAATTTCGTGGGGTAGTATATTTACATGTGGGCCCTAGAATAATATAATCAAACGGTGTGCCATATGCTGATATGTAATTAATATTAGACTGGTTTTGTTGTATATTTTTGTATGGAGAACAACTTTATAAGTGGAACACGATAAGCAGCTAAAAAGGTGTTTAGCATATATATTTTCAATAGAAATTTAGTGGGGTTGTAGATTTGCCATCGATGTGCCTAGTGTGTGTGAGTGTTTCATGTAAACACAATACTATAGGAAAATTTTAAACAAAAGAAGCAGTACTAAAATACTATAGGGTTACAGCGATGTTTTGTTTTGGGATTTGAATTCTTGGTAGATATAGTCAAGGCTACTATTGCATATAGCAGTGTTGGTTAATGGGTGCTGTAAAAAAATTGACATTGCAAATAAGCATTTCCTGGAGAGCAAGTAATTGAGGTGAGAATTGTGTGTGAAACTCGGGCGCTTTCTAAATAGATGTTGAAAACTTGCACGCAAAAGGAGAAACGTGATTGGCATATAATCAGTTTAGTAAGAAATGATCAATAAATTTATTTGGATTTTTCAAAACAACTTCTATATAAAAATTAGAAGAAAAAAACACACACTGTTTAGCAGCTTTAAAATCGTGCTAATGAAAATCGAGAAAGTAGCCAAGCCGAATCCTGGTTTAGAACATGGCGTAATTAATTAGTGGTTCGTGTGCTGCTGATGGAGGTAGCTAAACCGAGGCTGGAAAGGGAAAGAGAGAACAAATAATCAAGGGAGGATGGAGAGGCGAGTCGAGTTGAGTTTGTAGTTTGTAGGGTTGCGCCGCGCGCGTACGTGTGGTGAGAGCAACGGGGGGATGGAGAGGAAGGGGATGAGGTGGATTTTCTTGGAAGGACACGATTGGGGCGAACCAATGGCCAGCAGAGGCCTCATCCTCGTCTCTCCCTATCGGGGATTTCGGCCCCCCAAAATCTGCAGCGTCGCGCCGCCATGTCACCCCCTTGCGCCCCCACCCCACCCAAAATCCCCTCGTCGTCCCGTCGCGCGCGGCCGCTTCCCCTGCCCCCACAAAGGGTATGCGTATGGCCTTGGCCATACACATCTCGGCCTCCTCCTATCCCGTCCTTGGTCGCGCTCGCACTCGCACTCGCGTCGCGTCCATCCATTTCTCACCGCGGGCGCGTGTGCGGCAGCGCCCGCAGTTCTCCGCACGGACGGTGGCTGGTGGCCGACGTTTTTCACCGCGCCGGCCGCCGGGGCCCGGGGCCAGGCTGAGCGGTCGGTGAGGCGTAGGTGTACCGTTCAAAAAGTCTACCTATGCCGGCCTTGGAGCGTTGTGCTGGACATGGACATGGACATGGCCATGAAAACTCTGCCCTTCTCTGCAGCTTTAATCGAGCAGAGCAGAAAAAACGAGGCAATGCGTGGAATTCTGTGAGGAGAGGCAGAGAAAACGGAGCATCTCTCTCGGCCTCTAGACTTTCTTTTTGGGCCTGAAACCACGACGGCCCTTTGTTCCCTCGAAAGGCCCATCACGCGTCTTCCTTACGTGGGCCGTTGCCTTATCCAGCCCAGAAGGCCGGCAGCCGAAATTGCGTTCTTCTACGTGGGAGGAAAAAGTACACGAAAAGGTCCCTCAACTTATCATCAAGATACAAAATCATCCCTCAACAGCAAAAACATATATGCGGCATCCTTACTTAACAATCGGTCACAATAAATTCTTCAGTGGTTTTGATTCCGGTTTTATCCTACCTGACAGCTAAGTCAGCGTGGGATCCACGTAGACTCCACCTATCAGGATGCTACGTCATCTCTCTCCCTTCCTCCTCCTCTCTCTCTCTCTCCTCTCCTCTCCTGTCCTCTCCTCTTCTCTTCTCCTCTCCTCTTCTGTGGGCAAGCCGGCCGGCGGCTGGGGAGGAGGCCGCCGGGGCGAGGCGGGAGAGGAGGGCGGCGGCGGCAGCCTTCGCAGTGGGGGAAGCTGCCGCCGGCGGACGCGTCGAGGTATTGCTGCAGCGGAGGAGGACGACGAGGAGGAGATGGGGCTCGTGAGGTCGAGCTCGGTCTCCGCGACGGCAGTGGAGGAAAAAGCGGCGGCCGTGACGGCGAAGGCGTGGTGGGGTTGGCACTTCCCGAGCCCGCTCAAGGCGTTCCGGCACCGGAGATCATCGGCGAGCATGCCGGAGTGAGGGGGGATTACAGGAGATTTTTCCTTTTCCCTTTTTTTGGCTTCGCGTGCTAATCTTATGATTAAGTTAGACCAAACTCCAAAGCCTGTGATTTGGGCGTAATGTGTGCATATACTCCTACCAGTGGTGTTGTTCATTGTTCTCTTCGTGCTTTTGCTCCTTTTTAGAGTGCTTGCAAACGTTGTAGCCTGTGTACATCAAATTGGGAATTTTAAGGTCGCTGATTTGATCTGCACCAGGAGTTTCTTTTTTCTCTTTTTCGACACTGACGGAATGTAGATTGTGCGTTGTTTTTCTTTCAGATTGGAGTGCCGGTGGTGGCCATCGTCCTGTCCGGCAGCGCGGCGGCGCCCGACAGCGGCGTCGACGGATCGTACCGTCGGACGACGGAGGCGAGCGGCGAAAAGGCTACAACGTTCACTGGCAAGCGGCGAGCGGGTGGGCAGCAACGGCAGCGCAGCTACGCCGCACTTGGCAAGCCTCACGTTCACCGACTTGCCCTTCGCCACCACATAGATGTTGCAGTAGTCCGACGCGCCCTTCATCAGGCTGCACGGCATGGCGGCGGCAACGAG